ATGACATCAGGGAGGAGGAGTCCTGGGCTTCATATGAACAACGGATCACCGAGCTCGAAGCAGAGGTAGAGCGAGCTCGGGCTAATAAGGAGGTCGAGGTCGACAGGTCTCGAGCCCTGATCGCTCAGGCTCGCGCCGATCTGCAGAATGCCAGGGTTTGAGCTAAGATGACGAAGAAGGGCTGGAGGGAGGCTCCAACAGAATATGGCGAGCTGGGCCTACTTGGAGAAGAAAGTGAAGGAGTTCCATGAATTTGACGGACTTGGGTGGGATTTTGTGGACAAGGGCTTCTACTATGCCATCGGGAAGCTCAAGACCACTTGCTCGGAGGAGGACATTGCCGTCGCCGAAAAGGAGTATGAGGCTATCTGGGTCGACCGTCCTGCTAACGCTGGTAAGGGAGTCGAGACAGCGAATGCTGACGCTGGGCCAGCAAACCTAATGGAGACGACGCTCCCGAAAAATAGCTCTTTCCTTTCTTCCTTACGTTGTTTTCCTCTCTTCATCATCATCATTTTTTTAACTTGATCAATGTACTGAGCCGAGGCATACATACCTCAGCTCTAACTGCAATTTGTTATTCAATGAAATAAGACTTTGTCCAGACCTGAGTTGTTCTTTTCGATGTCTGTACACTTAGAATTTCAATTAAATTTTAATTTTAGTTTCATTATTTGAGTTTGTCAAGTCTGGGTAATCTCTTCCCTGCCCAACGACTTACGAGTCGAGGTAACTCAGCTCGGCGGTGTGCTCAAATTATAAATGATGGTCAGGTTTTTACGAGCTGACCAATGCTTCCAAGATTTGAAAAAAAAAGCAACAATCTTTCTCCTTATGGTCTGGCATAGGTCATACCACGTAGTCTTCCTTGGCGCCCATTTGACATAGCTCGGTAGTAGTAGACGACACTAATGAATATAGTCAAATTTTGTACAAGTTATTGGAGATCGGCATTCATTAATAAATAGGAATTTTACATGTTGGATTACACAATTTTCTCTTTTGCCCTACTGATGATAGACTCGTAAGTAGTCGACGTTCCACGGATGGGGGAGTTGTCTCCCACTGAGGTCAGACAGTAGATAGGCTCCGAGATGAACTACTTTCATGACTCTGTACGGGCCTTCCCAATTCGGTTCCAGGGCTCCGACATGCTACATTACCTTATTGAGGACGAGGTCTCCAGCCTTGAACATTCGAACTCTTACCCTGGCATTGTAGTACCGAGTCATATGGTTCTGGTATTTTGCTAGCCTGAGCTGGGAGTGAGACCTTTTCTCCTTCAGCAGGTCAAGATTCAGGAGAAGAGCTTCACTGTTGGTCTGCTCGTCAAAATTTTCAACTCAGAGCGTTGGCATGTCGCTTTCTACGGGAATGACAGCTTCCGACCCGAAAGCTAGGTCGTACGGCGCGACGTAGTTCGGTACTACCACAGTACTTCTAGAAGCTCTTCTGCCCACCGACCCTTTTGAGACTCAAGCTTTGTCTTCAAGGTGCTTTTGATAATTTTGTTAACAACTTCAACTTGCCCGTTTGACTTCGGATGAACTGGCGACGAGCTGAACTGTTGACAGAACTAATTAAACCAGGCACTATTGAATTGCTTGTCGTTGTCGGTAATGAGAGCGTGCAGTATGCCGAACCGACATACTATGCTTCTTCCACACAAAACCAACGACCTTCTTCTTGGTAATGGATGCCAGTGGTTCGGACTCTACCCACTTGGTGAAATAGTCTACCACCACCACGACATATTTCAGCTGTCCCTTCGCCTTTGGTAGTGGATCGATCAGATCTAGCCCCCATTGAGCGAAAGACCAAGGACTCGAGATCGGCGTCAGCATCTCCGAGGGTTGTCATAGGATGTTTGCGAAGCGTTGGCACTTGTCACACGCCTTTGCGAACTCGTTGGTGTCATGGTCAATCGTCGGCTAATAGTAGCCTTGTCGGAC